GCACGGGACGGTGCTGGTGCCTTTCGGGCGCCTGCCGCCCTCCTGGCACCGTCCCGTCCCCGGGCAGCGCTGCCCCGCCGCCGGGACCGGCACCCCATTCCCCCGGCTGAGCGTTCATTTTCCTTTTCCCACCAGGGCCAGCGGAAAAGCTGGCTGAAAAAGCTGATTCCACCCCGCCGCCGGCACCACGCTGCATCCCCCCGCGCGCTTCCCCAGCGGCGCCTGGGATGGAGCGATACGGGGAAGATGCTGCCTGCCCCACGCGTGTCTCTGTGTATCACCCGAGCGCCCTCCGGAGGCTCATCTCCCTTCGCTAGAGCACGGGCAGCTTCACCCGAGGAGGATGTCAATCCCCCACTCCGGGGAGAGCGTGGCCACTTGGATTTCTTCTGGCAGGACGTGCCGGTGGGACAGGGGTCTCTGAGGCATCTTTAGCTGCCTCACGCTGACTGCATGAAGTTATGCCTCTTAAAACCTTGCATTAGGTAATTATACGTGTTGTCGACCCCCGCCCCCTCCCTTGCATCCCACAAACTGCTACTATTAAATTGGCAAGTATCACAGAACTTAAAATAATTCCAGCTAAAAGATAAGTTTTCTAGTTACATAAGAGTTTCTAAAACCCTGGCTTCACCTCCAGGTGCTCCGCTGACTGAATTACTAAAGAAACACACAACAAAACACCCTTAAATTTACTTTAAAAAAAAAATATTTACTTATTTATTTATCTTCCAGAAGACCCTTCTATATTTAAGATGGGACTATCCCAGGCGCTGACTTTCCAGCCCAGCACCCAGCTGACGCTGCTGGCATGGAGCTGTGCCCGGCAGAGCGCGGTGCCACTGGCCCGGGGGTGGCTTTCTGGGGACGGTGGGTACGTGCCGGTCATGCCGGGCCTGCTGCCCCTCTCCGGGCAGGGCTCCATCTGCCGCCACCGCAGCTGTTGCAGGACCGCAGCTGTTTATCACAGGGGTGTGTATTTTAACATAAGTAGCTGGGAACAAGACTGGTACATGCTCTCCCTTTGGATGTAAACTCCTCGTGGGAAGGCTCGTGGGATCAGGGTAAATGTGCAGTGCCTGGCAGGCGGGGTTTTGCATCTGGCAGGTAAGGTTTCGATTGGAGAGGTGTTGCTTTTAACTCTAGCACTGCCAGATGTATTATGTTTAAATAAACTTGATTTCCTTTCTCATCGGAGGATTGATAGCACAGCCTCTATCTACACCAGCATCAACCACTGAACTTGACAGTGGCACAAGAAATGGTTGATTTTGTTTTTTCCATATTGTCAAAGACATAATATACCCTAAACTGTTTTATGTGTTATTTTTTGACCTCTGTATGCCCCAGACCTTCTCTGGGGTCTATTCATGATGCACCACCTGCCCTTGGCCTGGCCATCCAGCAGGGAACGTGATGCTCCTGGACCCTTTTTCTCTACATGAAGTGCAGAGGCGTGTGTGCATGAGGCATGGGAAGGTAGTTCAGAAATGAGATGCAGTCTGATTTCTGCTGTCTCTCCCTTTGCTCTGCGGGAAGGGGTTAGATCTCACCCACTGGAGTCATAGAACTATGATTTGTCTTGGAAAGCACTCATTTAACTGTTTGCATCCAGAACGGTGCTGCCCTTCCAGCTCACCAAAGGTCAGCCAGCGCTGGCATGCTGCTGCACCAGCCTGGACGTGCCTGTCTAATGCCCATCATGTGTTACTCCAAAAAAGACACCCAGCTCCCAACCCGGTCACCCGACCCCCGCTGGGCACCTTGCCTCCTGGCAGTTCCATTCCCAAAATCCCTCCGTAAACGGCACAGAACTTCCGCGTAAACCTCAATATAAGCCATCTGTGTCACACCTAAGCCCCAGCATGGAGAGTGCAGCATTGCCCACAGGGTTTTCAGGACCTGGAGGTGTGTTCAGAACTCGTGGTTGGACCTGTCAATGCCTGTCCCACAAACCCAAGCAGCAGGAGCCACCCCCTGGAGGGTGAGTTGGTTGTGTTTGTTGCTGAGCCTGAGATGTGTGATTTCAGGAGAATGTTTGAGGGGGTTCTCCCACGTGCCATGCAGGGTGTGAAGCCCTGGGGTGCTGCAACACCTGCAGTGAAGCATCCAGGAGCATGTGAGCAAGTGATACCTGGCACTTACCAAAACACTGCATTGAAGCCAGGATGATATCCATGCTCTGCTGTTTCCTGGGGTGGATTTGTCTGGCATCTCAGGAGCTGAATCTATTCCCATCTGTGTATGTCATTTCATGAGCAGTGAAGTACAGACAAGCCCTTGATTTCCCTCACCTGTCCTGCTGAGTACCTGACCCACCGAGTCATGGCTTGTCTCTGGGACCCAGTAATTTTAAACAGCAGTAAGAAGCAGGTGATCATCTGAATTTCAGAAGAAATTCTTTAGAACTTGCTTGAGGTTCATGCTCCAAATCAAGGAAAGGATTGAAACCTGGCAAGAAAGGACAAGAAACCTTTCTCTAAGAAGCAGAAAAAAGACAAAGCTGTAACTTACTCTGGACTGCTGGCTGTGAATCTCAGAGAAACACCAGGAATTCTGAACCCTTCAGGGACAGCAGTTAAATCACACTGTGTTTCTGACTAGTTTTTCCTCATCAATAGAGGACTCAGGGAAGGTAAGGGAACAGGGTAATGCCTCAGCATGCTCACCTCCAGCAACCCAGCCAGGCATGCAGGACTTTTTGGGACAGTGGGACTAGGAGCGTGGTGAACCTGTGCTGGTCCTGGGGTGCCTAAAGAGCCTTCTCTGCTTTTGGTATTACGGGCTTGAGACAGCACCAGCAGGACATCAGGTCCTGGGGGATTCATGGGTAAAGACCAAGCTGACAAGGGGGAAAAAGATGGAGGACTGGTTTGCTGTGTTTCTCCTCCCTGCAAGAAGCAGCAGGAGTTTAAGTATCCTTTCATTCATCAGCTGGAAGCCATCAGTGGCACATGGGGGCTGACCGGGGAATGGGACACGTACATGAGGAGGTACAAGTTGTCTGGGCAGAGTGAAAAAACCTGCCTGCACACCCTTAGGGAGGGACAGTACCTACCTGAGGTTGGTGTTGGCTCTTGTCAGCCAGCACAATGACTGCTGGACAGCCCCTCGCTGCCCGCTCGTGCCACCTCGGCCAGGGCTCGTGCCTCTCCCTTGTCCTGAAGCACTGTCACTGTATTTTGCTTGTAGTTTATACTGTACATGTACATCATTGCACTCATCCTGCCTGTGGCCTCCCTACTCTTAGCAACTGAAGAACTTGATGGTTATTGAAAGGATTTTTCCTTTTAGCTCATTTAGTTGAAGCTCTGTGTTCTATCTCACTGCAGGCATTTAAGCCCCTGTGGTGTCAGCCCAGGCTGGGTTTGTAAAGCTGCACCTGTGGCTGCCGAGCTGCTGAATAAGATCATCCACGTACTCAGGCTCCCAAAAGGCCAAATGCAACTGTGGCAAAATGCCTCAGAAGCTGTGCTCTTTTTTTCTCACTCCTCAGTGGATACTCCGAACGTTTTCCTGATGCAGGATTTGCACGATTTTCCATTCATGTGATCAAATTGACAGCCACATCTTCTGTGTAATCAAATGAAGTCTTGCATGGTATAATTTTCTGTGAGTGTAATGGACAAGTAGAGTCAATGTTACCCTCTTCTATCCCAGCAAAAAGATGAAGAAAAACCCTACTCTGTAAATCACGTGGAAACTGTAACCAAAACTTTTCCAATCCCTTACAGCCACTCCTTCATGTTATCAGAATCATTTGGGTTGGAAGTGACCTTAAAGATCATCTAGGCCCAACCTTCTTGCCACGGGCCAGGACAACTTCCACTAGGTCAGGTTGCTCAGAGCCTCACCCAACCTGGCCTTCAGCACTTCCAGGGATGGAGCACCCACATCTTTTCTGCTCCTGTGTCTCATCACTTTCACAGTGAAAAATTTCCTCCTAATATCTAATATAAACCAAACCACTTTCAGTTTAAAACCATTCCTCCTTGTCCAGTCACTACAGACCTTGATAAAAAGTCCCTCTCCATCTTTCCTACAAGCTCCCTTTGGTACTGAGAGGCTGCAACAGGGCCTCCCCAAAACCACCTCTTCCCCAGGCTGAGCAACCTCTCAGCCTGCCTTCACTGGAGAGGTGTTTCAGCTCTCTGATCACCTCTGTGGCCCAAAAAACTTCCCAACCTTTTTTGCAACAAGAAAATATCCCTCTGAGCATCCTATTCTGGATGCATCTTCATTTGGCGTAAGGTGTGGCTCTTTGGTAGTTTTGCTATCAAAGACCAGTGGCACCATTTGGTGCTGTGGGTGTCTGCCAGGGTGTGAGCTTCCTGCGTAGGTGCCATTTCTTACAGGCAGCATAACTTAAAAATGAAAATTTTAAAGCCCATGTAATTTCCAAATGAGGCACAGTATTAATAAAATGACTCAGCAGACCCCTAGCCTAGAGAAAAAAAAAAAAAAAAAAAAAAAAAGTTTTAAAGGAGAGGTAATAAATCCTTATCCTTGATTTTGAAAAAGAATTTTGAAAAGAATTTTGGGGAGAAGTGTCTCTATATATAGATGCTACTTTTGGAAGCAGCTGGCCAAACCCTTAAGTGTGAGACCAGAAAAGCTGTAGGAAATTCCTTATTCCATGTCTGAATACAAGCCCAATTCATTGTTTTTGTGGAAGGCTCATAGGCTCCTGCCTGTGCCCAAATGTGGCTCCTCTCAGCCACGGAGACCTTAAGAAGATAACATTTAAACTGGGGGGCAGTGGTGGGGACTAAGGGGGAAAATCCTGAGCACAAGCAGCAGCATGCAGGAGCCTCTCTATCAGCCAGGAAAGGAGACAGCAGGTGGCAGTTCCAGAGCTTTCCTCTGGATTCAGCAGTACTGTTATTCTTAGCTAGAGGGGGAAATTATAAGATTGGCAGGCATGGTAAGGATTAGCTTAAACACGACATCATTCTATACTCTAAGAAAAACCTAGTGAGAATATATGCTAATGTCTTACATAACTTTTTAGATACAACTAATGAATTTCCAGATATGGTGCCCATCCATCTGGTTATTTAATCTGAGAAGGAAATACTCTGCTGTACTTGTGAACAGTTCCCAAGTTTTGTTTTGCATCATGAGACCTGACTCTGATCTTCACATCATCTTAACTCTTTTCTGGGAGCCAAATAAACCTGCTCTGTAAACACCGAGCCCAGCGACATGAGGTTTGCATTTGCTTCACAGGCTGGTTCCAGCCTTTCCATTTAGTTGCTTCATCTTCCTGAGAGCAGCCAGGCCTGGGGACAGCAGCTGCCATTTGCATGTGTTGGAGGGTATTTCCAGGACCATTCAGCTTCACAGTGAAAGCTCCCTAAAGAAAGGGAAAATCCACCTGCTTTGCACAAGATGTATCTCTGCGCTGAAGACCCAGCAGCCTCGTGCTTTGCACCTCAGCTGACACATAAGCTGGGCAAACACATGACTAATAAGGGCTGATGCACCTGAGGCTCCCCATTATTGCACTTATTTTAGGGCTAAGATGGAGCTTTTCACTATGTGAATTGTCAAGAACATGTTCTGAGCCCGTATCACGTTTGTCTCCCAGGCCTTCACCCCCAGCCCAAGGGCCGTTTGCCATGGACCTCAGGGAGCAGAGAGCGATGAGTGGTGACCACCAGCCCCCTTCCCCAGGAAGGACCAGCCTGGACTCTAACTCTCCTCCCCAAAGGCCAAGGAGGGAGGCCTGCTGTGCACAAACATCTGCTGGTGCTGAGGATATCAAAAGTCCTACCAGAAGAGCCTCGTTAAAGTATAAACTTAAACTTTGTCCTCTGCAGGGCAGGTCAAAGTACCCAATAACTATCTGAGGTATGTGCCAGAAGTGCCATTAAACACCTCGTACACCCAGCCACTTAATTTCTAAATGTCCCCTGCCTTTTCATGTTGCCTTTTTTATTGTGCTTTAAACTTTCTTTTATTTGTAGAGTGACAGCATGAAAGCCAGGGTACCTCACCTGACCAAGTTTTAGTCATGAGATTGCAGTCCTAATTATTAGCAGGGATCAAAAGAACAAAACATCATGACATCTTACTTAAGTGTATATAAAATCAGACTGTATCAAACCTTTACAAAATGCCCCCCCACCTTACTGTCCAGTAATTATCATTTCTACAAATGGGTAAATGCAGAAGCTTTTTGTGATTAAAGTGCCCTAAATTAACTTCTGAAATGAAGTATGCAGCTGAAAGTTTATTTTTATTTTTAAATGTTTCCTCTACAAAAATACATCCAAACAATATTTTTAATTAATAAAGTGATAAAAATTATTTGATTTCTTGATTTATAACACTATTGACACAAACCATTGAGTATGTTTATTAAGAAGAAAGGTAACAAATAGTAATTGTTGTTGGAAGGTATTTGAAGCAGAAAAGCTCCTTCCTCATTCTTTAGGCCTCAGGAATCTTCCATATTGTGAGTTTTTCATGGAGTTGTATGCAGAGGACAGATTTCTCTACTCTCCAGCTGACAGATTGATTTGAGACTGGTGCCAGCAGCAGACGTGGCCCTCAGTGGGACCAGAACTACCCCACTGCCACCAAGACAGAAGGGCGATCTTGTAGGCAGTGAAAGGGCAAAGACTCATTTTTATTACACCCTTTATGATAATTATTAAAAGCCTCAATTAAATCTATATCCTACAGTAAATCTGGGTAATAAGCAACAGCAGTGTTTGAGAGAATTCTTTCTCCCTCACTGCTTGTGCTGCAGTTTAACCTCAGCTGGGAGCTCAGCCCCCCAGAGCTGCTCCTCAATCTCCCCAGAGGGAATTGGAAAGTGAGAAAACTTTGGGGCTGAGGTCAAGACAGGGAATAGGTTAAAGCAAAAGCAGCGCACACAAGCAAAGCAAAACAAGGAATTAATTCACCACTTCCCATAGGCAGGCTGGTGGTCAGCCCTCCTCAGGAAAGTTGGGATGACAGTGACTTGGGAAGACAAACACCATCACTCTGAACATCTCCCTCGTTGTCCTTCTTCCCTCAGCTCCACATGCTGAGCATGACACCCCGTGGTATGGGATAGCCCCTGGGTCAGCTGGAGTCAACCCCTGGACTCCTCATGGTGTGAGAGGCAGAAGAGGCCTTGTCTCAACAATAATGGAACATCCCTGTGCCATCAACAGTTTCCAGCACAAATCCAAACCACAGCCCCACTCCAGCTACTCTGAAGAAAATGAACTCAATCCCAGCCAAACCCAGCACACCTGAGAACTGGCTGCTGGAGACTAAGAGTGGCACAACCTCCACGGGTTGGCACAAGCAAATTCCAAAGTGCAGTAGACATTCCAGTGCGGTGCTGCAGTTATGGCAAGAAGCTCACTGTGCTCAGGTCTGGTGGCAGTGACTACTTCTGGTTTGTTGCAAACAATAATTTGGAAATAACACGATGTTAGCAGTGCAGACTTCCAAAGGACAAAGATAACAGGGTATAACCTCTAATTGCTAAAACCAGTCTCATCATTGCTATCTCGTTATCCAGTAATGAAAAAGCTGTTCAGATACTTTAGGTGTTATCTAGAGCTAAGAGCACTTTTCTGTTTAATTTCACCATGTGGTCCACTGATACTACTGATAAGGACAAGCTTTAACTACAAATAGTATGTGGCTGCAGAATGGTTTCAGTTGATTGTCATCAAGGTCTCTGCAAAAAAAAAGCACAGACTCACTACATCACTACACTGATGCCCACAAGTTTGCGGGGTATGAATTTGTGCTTTCCACTGAGGTATCTCAGTGCTTGTCAAATAAATCTTTTAAGCTCTGTAGCGTCTCCAGATTTTTCTACATTGAATTTTAACACAAAGACAATAAAGCTGCTTTGTTACAGAACCACACACAAGAAAAATAATTTAAAAAAAAGACACAAAAATCACTGTTTGAATACAGCTTTAATACAAAAAAAATATTTTCTCTATTAGTCAAGTTAAGTGGTGATAAAAATAGTTAAAGAGTTTTTTTTCCTTTTTGGCCTTAGAATTCTAATCTGGTTGCAGCTGTGCTTTAGGGTACAGGTCTCTTGGCAGACAGGGTTCCTCACATCCAGGGTTCCCATCCTTCCCAGACTCTGCCAAGAATATTGGGGTCTGTTGCTTGATCGATGAGGCATCTCACTTGGGTCTCCTCTGAAAGTCCATCCTCTGGCTCTTTGGCTCTGATATCATGATTAGAGCTACCACGAGCCACAGCTGCAAAATCATTATAAGCCGGCGACTTCTCATGGCCCAGGCGCAGCTCATCACTGAAATTGAGAACACAAAAATAAGCTCTGACTAAAAGAAACAAGCAAAAAATCTCAGATTTTTAAATACAAAGCAGCACTTGAAAAATAAAGCTTGAATTGAGATCAAGATGTGGAGGCTGTTCAAGAGCTGTAAAGGGCTTGGCCAGCGAAGACTGGTGGTTTCAGGGGTCCTTTACTAATGGGTATTTACCATGAATATGCCAATCTTATCAAAGGTCTCTAGATGAAAGAAGGATCCAGCAGTTCACATCCAAGCTGTTGATCTCTTTACCTGCTCTCCTGATTTGTGCCTATAACAAATATTTTCCTGCCTTTTCCAGTTCAGCCTTGACCGCAAAAGGGACTCCTCCCAAGTCCTGCACTTCTCAATATTTGTATGGTTTTAAAACAGTCTTGCTTTCTTTGCTTTTCTGTCTTTCCCCTGATTAATCCAAAATGACTTTTTAAGAGAGGATGGAAGGGATTAATTGTACTTTTAAGTGAACTTTAAAGACATTCTGGCTTGAGCCAGACTTGACTAGACTGACATAAATAACCTGAGAATGTCACCAGATTTGAATTTGATGTTTCTCATAAGCAGCTTTTCTCCATGCCTCCCCTACAGCTGGTACAGGTTCCATTTCAATCAATCCTCCATCAGAAGCATATACCCTACCCTAAAAGCAGTGGAGACAAACATAAAGAACAGTGGGACTGAGGAGTATGAGATTAAGCAGCCTTGACAGGGAGGAGAGGCATGTGCTGCCAGGAGCAGTAAAACTGCTCAGAAGGCCTGAGCTGGAGCAAGAAAACTCACAGGGAGATATCTGGTGTTTTGGCTGGCAGGGTGATTCAGAGAGCTTGTATATGGACCAAAATGATTCTGACAGAAGGTTTGCTGAAGTTTTGCCCTGTGTCTTTTCTTTTCCTAGCCACCATTCTATCCAAAGGGAGAAAAATCAGACACAGGAGCCTTCCAAAGCTCTTAGTTGGAGCAGCTTAAAGCAAAAGGAGAGCATCTTACCAAGTGATTATGGCTGGATTGGCACCTGTGAGCTTTCTTCTGACAAAGCTGACTTTTTGCAAAGGGTACCAGTTTACTTCAGATGTGTTTATTTCCTTAATCCATGTGCCTCCTTTTTTTAGCTGTCTTTGTTCAAAGTTCTAAGGAGAAAACACATTTGTCCTATTTATCATAAATCACACACTTGAAAAAGGCTTTTAAGCCGCAGATCATAGCAAGTCAAGCCAGTATCTTAACTGCTGATGCAGTGAAGGACAAAGCAGTGAGATAATACCTAGCTTGCCTCTGACTTTAATTTACAGCTGAAGTGCAACTAGTTTCAGATTTTTTTTCTCTGTAACTATTAGTTTGATATATACAGTGCTATTATGTAAATTTAAGAGGTTGAATGCAGAAAGTTGAAAATATTTACGCTGGTGCATAACGCGATCAGGAGTTATCCACATCCTTAGGATTATCATGAAAGATAAAGAACAGTACACTGGTAACACAGATATATGCTACTATTTTTTTGTGCATCAGTACAGAATCCTGTCATTTTAAATACTTTTAAGTTCCATTTCTCTGAGAACTTAATAAAACAAAGATACTGAGGTATCACTGTGAGTATATGAAGGTACTGAGAGTGAGCTTCAAGGAATGCTTCCTTTTTAATCAGTTTTACTCTTATAACAGTTTAAGAATTTTCACATGAAGAAAAATGAAAGAGGACAAAACCCCACCTTCCAGTCCAAAGAAGGCTCTTTTACAAACACATCCATGGTGCTGATGAGGAGGTCTGGATCTGAACGATAAGCCCTCAGGGCATGCACCATCACACTGTAAATGAGTCCCCACTCTCTCACTGGCATCATCAGATTAATGAACTGGCGAGTCAAGCGAAAGGGCATCAACTCCGGCACACTCAAAAACTAGCCAAGGGGAAGGACAGTCAAAAGAAAACAAAAAGTAAGAAGTCTTGGAACTGAAGGATTAGACTGGAATATTTTATTCTTTTTAAGCTTTGAAAGCCTCTTTGTCACTTCACTGAAAATAACGTGCAAAAGTAGAACTGAACCAAGTTGTGACATCAAATCTCTAGTCATGAGTATTCAGTGATAGTGACTGAGCCATGGCTGAACTATGTAAAACACCACCATATTGACTCTGTGGAGTCCTATAGCTCACTGCTTGTCTGAGAGTATCTGGACTCTGATATTTTATTCAATTGACTAGAAATAACTTGTAAAGATTATTTTGCACCAGAACAATGGCAACTGAAAAGCATCAAATTTAGTACTGAGAATGTACATGTAATCACGTGTAACAACTACAAAAGCTGTAACCTATTAGTTGAAAACAAATACCTGCGTGGCTGCACCAAAAGCATATCCAAAGTCTATTCCCACCATGCCACCTGTCTCCTTGTTAATCATGAAGTTGGACAGATGCCGGTCCCCAATCCCAAGTATCCAGTGGCTGATGCACATCAGGGCGTGTGAGCTGGCAAAGTGGGAGCGCAGGGCCAGGAAGGCCTCGGGAGATGTGCTCATCTTCACAAAGGCTCGCCTTAACAAAACAGAACTCGTTGAATGCAGAGAAACACCAACATTTCTTTTACAATGTGCAGCCATCAGCAGCTCTTACCGCAGCAGGTCTTCTGGAACGCTGCTCTCCCTGCTTCTGAAGGATGAGACTGCTTCTGTACGGCTGGCATTTCTGCAAAGGAGTGGAGAAACAGCTGGATGTTCAAAGTCTTGATACACTAGTGACAGCAGCAGCATGTGGTGCTTACTCCACTGTGCTTACTCCAGTAAACAGTACAGCAAGCCACAAAGGGTTCATCCCCCAAACTTTATCTGATATGAGAAGTGCCCCATCCTCCCTCTTCATTCCAACAGTTATTTCCAAGATGTTTCTAAATACAGAAGAGTGTGTGGTTTTGTGTATTTTCCTCCAAATTAAGTTAATGGGTTAAGTTTTAATAAAGCAATACTATCATGTTCTTTCTGTCTGGACAGGCTCTTCCAAGCAGAGGAATTAAGGCCCCAGTTACATGTCTCAGCAGCAGGCTTAGGCTATACTGACACTAGAAGGTAGTGCAGCAGAGGAGAAGCAACAAAACTGAAGAACTGGTGCTGAGGGCACTCATGCCATGCAGATTTGGGGAAGGAGGCTTTGTCCTAGCCCATATCCAGTAGTGAATGCGAGAGCTGAAATGTGCCTGGTGCTTTCCTTCCAGTCTACTTCCCTCTGAAAGGAGCAGAGCTGAGAAACAGAGAACAGCTCTTTGATGCAGCAGACTGAAGATGAGTGGGGTTGATTGGGAATCACTTCAAAAGCACATTTTGGGTCTGAATACAAGTATTAACACAGTTAAACAAGTCAAAGCTTTCCTTTAAAAAGCAAGATACTTGCTTAAGCAGGATATGATCTTGTAAGAAATGCTCTGGACACTTCACTTTACCACCCACAGTGCTAGATCTAGGTAGGTGTGGAAATTCCTCTGAGAGGATGCTCAAGTCAGGACCTAAACCATCAAATATTCTCAGTGAATCATGGTGATTTTCTCTGTCCAACTCCAGCAGATGCTTGGGCTCTGAGGCAGCCTACCTAACTGCATAATCAGGAACAAGATGCCTAGAAAATAAAGTTGAAGAGCAGCATCTGCTTCTAGACACTTTCTAAAGGAAGTGAGCAAGCTTCTGGAAGCATTCCTGTACTCTGGTAGGATTTTTGGCAAGAGGAATTTTGCAGAGCATCTCCAGGAAGACAAAGCAGTAAAATGAGCAAAAAATCAGATCTAGCCATCATATTATAATGGAGATGGTGTGTTTTTCCTGGAATTTCTACATCTCTGCATATGTGCACACTCTAGCTTCTGTATTTCACACGCAGCTCTCTTTTGAAACCTACCTGTACATAGCATGGTATCTAGAGATGCCCTGTGCTTCCCCACCCATCCTGGACAGCCACTCAGAATAGGTAGCACGAGGTCCTCTTGGGCTAGGGACAAAAAAAGAAGAAAAGCACCTATGATTTCCCTGTATGATCTCATCACTCTCTGTTTGATTATCCACAGGCTGTGTGCTGTTCTGACCCATGAGTTTTTTATGCAAAGGAAAAGTCAGGAAGATACAGCCTACATTAATTTTAGCCTTGCTATGGAAATGAAGTTTATGCAGTGTATAGGCTGATCCATTAATCTCCTTCGCCCCAGCTTTGCACACACTTCAGTCGTATCTGACAGAAGATTAGACATCTCAAGGGTGTTAATTTGTCAACAGGTACTGTGAGTACCTCCAGAAGAAAGGTCCAAAATAATTTCTGGAGGGAGGGAAAGGTATTTTTGACAGTCTTGTAGCCTTTGAGAAGCAGGATGTAGTCCACCACAGTACATGCTGTCCTCTGTTTTTCCAAATGGGCAGGGAATGCAGGAAAGCAGTTTGGTATATCCTCAGCATGTGCCAGAGAGGAGAAGTGGGTGCTTGAGCTTTGGGTATTAATCCATAAGAAGCCAGTATTCATTAATTGCACTGC